ACTGGAAAATTTCGAAATTTTTATATAATAAGCTTCTCACTTTCCTCTTTTTCCTATAAAATTTTCAAAATTTTCTTTCTACTAGTTTTCCAGAAAAAAATTAAAATGTAAGAGGATGATTTTTTCTTGGTTTTGCTTAAATGAGTCAATTTTCCAGAATTTTTCCTGAGTGATTTTTCACAGAAAAATTTTAAAATTTTGCTTTAATGAGATCCTCACTTTCCTGTTTTTTATGGAAAATTTTCACAATTATCCTTTTGCCAGTTTTCTAGAGAAAAAAAATAAAATGTAAGAAAATGAATTTTGCTTAAAAAAGTTAATTTTCCAGAATTTTTCCTGGAATGATTTTCCATTGGAAAATTTTGAAATTTTCCTATAATAAGCTCCTTTGGTCTTTTTCCGGGAAAAATTTCACAATTTTTGTTTTGCCAGTTTTTCAGAAAAAAATGTCGTGATTTTCGTAATTCCTATAATCTTTGTAGTTTTCGTAATTCTCTTTATTTTTATAATTCCAGTAATTTTTCGTAATTCCTGCAATTTTCCGTAACTTTTCAAAAATTGCGAAAAAGTGAGTGTCAAAATCGCTGGAAAGTGACGTTAGAATTACGAAAAATAGAAGTAAAAATTACGGAAAAATGTGGGGTGGAAATGTTGAAATTGTGGAAAAGTTGAGTAAAAATGGCGGAAAAGTAAGGTTATAATCGAGAAAAAATGAGGTTATAAATACAAAAAACAAAAATAAAGATTATGGAAAAATAAGGTTGAAATTGCGGAAATGTGAGGCGAAAATCGCGGAAAAGTGAGGTTATACTTATTGAAAAATCAGGCAAGAATAACGGAAAAGTGAGACAAAATTCGCGGAAAAATTTGCTGAAATTGCGAAAAAGTGAGTTTGGACTTTGAAATTGCGGAAAAGTGAAGGTGAAATTGCGAAAAAAAATTGTTAAAAGCCGTTACCTCTCAAATAAATTTCGTTATTTTTATAATTTTTGCAATTTTCGCAAAACTCGTAATTTTCGTAATTCCCATAACTTTTTCATTTTTTTTTTAATTTTTCGTGACTTTCCAAAATTCATCATAATTTTTCTGTAATTCCCGTAAGTTTTGAATAATTCCTGTTGTTTCTCAGATTTTCGTAATTTTTTAATTTCCGTAATTTCTCAAAATATTCAGTTATTTTCTTTATAATTTCCCCTAAGTTTTTATAATTTTCAAAAATTCGTAATTCCCGTTATTTTCGATTTTTTTTTTGTGAATTTTAATTATTTCCGTAATTTTTAGATAATTCTCCCTATTTCTATAATTTCTCCTTAGTTATTGCAATTCTCGGAAAACTCGTAATTTTCGTAATTCCCGAAACTTTTTCATAAATCCCGTAACTTTCCATATATTATCGTAATTTTTTCGCAATTCCCGTGATTTTTTCTTATTTCTTTCAATTTTTATAATTCCTGCAGTTCCTCAAATTTTCGTTATTTTGTAATTCCCGTAATTTTTCAAAAAACTCCGTTATCTTTATAATTCCCCCCAAGTTTGTTGTGATTCTCAAAAATTGGTAATTCCCGTAATTTTTTTTTTTTTTTGAATTTTCGAAAATTTTCAAATTCCCGTCATTTCTCAAAAAATTTCCGTTAATTTCATAATTTCCCCTTAGCTTTTGTAATTTTCGGAAAATTCGTGAATCCCGTAACTTTTTATAATTCTTGTTATTTTCGTAATTTTTTGAATATAGTCAGAATTTTTTTAATTCCCGTGATTTTTTCATATTTTTCATAATTTTTGAATAATTCCTGTAGTTTTCAGATTTCCGTAATTTTTTAATTCCTGTAATTTCTCAGAAAACTCCGTTATTTTCATAATTCCGAAATTATGTAATTCTCGTAGTTTTCGTATTTTATTTTGGGAATTTTCGAAATTTTGTAATTCCTGTCATTTTTCAGAAAATTCTCATTATTTTCATAATACTCCCTAGTTTTTACAATTTTCAAGAAAGTCGAAATTTTCGTAATTCCCATTATTTTCATAATTTTTCAATTTCTGTAATTTCTCAAAAAAACTTGTTAGTTTTATAATCCCCCCTAAGTTTTCGGAATTTTCGAAAGTTAGTAATTTCCGTATTTTTTTTTGGGGGAATTTTCGAAATTTTTTAATTCCTGTCATATCAATTTTGGAGTAACTTCGTAATTACTTTGCGTAATATTTGGCAACTCCCATAATTTTTGTAATTCCCGCAATTTTTTGTTATTCCGTGATTCTCGTCATGTTCCGTTATTCTCGTAAATATTTGCAATTCTCATAATTTTTCATATTTTACGTACTTTAACGTAATTCCCGTAATTTTTCGTAACTTTCCAAAAATTATCATAATTCTCGTAATTTTGAAATGAGGAAAATTAAGAATAAAATCGCGGAAAGTGATGATAAAATCACAAAAAGAAAAGAGTCAAAAATCGCAAAAAAAAATGAGTCAAAAATTTCAAAAAAAGTGAGGTAAATTCGTGAAAAAGTGAGGTAAGAATCGCGGAAAAATGGGGTAATATTTGCGGAAAAGTGGGTTTACAATCGCGGAAAAGTGAATTTAGAATTGCGGAAAATTGATAGCAAAATTGCGGATAGTAGGGAAAAAATTGCGGGAAAATGAGGATCAAATAGTGGAAAAATAAGTTTGGAACCGCGGCGGAGTGAGGGTAAAATCACAAAAAAAATGAGGACAAAACCGCGAACAAATGAGTCAAAAAGTGTAAATAAAGTGATGTTAAATTCGCGAAAAAATGAGGTATAAATCGCGGAAAAGTGAGAATGAAATCGTGGAAAAAAGTTATGCAAGAAAAAGTAAGGTAATATTTGAGTGAAGGTAAAATCGAAAAAAAAAAGAGACAAAAATCGCAAAAAGAGTGAGGATCAACTCACGAAAAAATGAGATGAGGTTCGCGAGAAAAAGTGAGACAGGAATCGTGGAAGAAGTGAGGTAAAATTTGTAGAAAAATGGTTTTAAAATCGCGGGAAAATAAGTTTGTAATCGCGAAGAAGTGAAGGTAAAAGTGACAATTGGCAGGTGAATTCAAGAGTCGGGAATAGACACAAATTGATCTTTCACATTGACAGTCCTTGATTGAGGATAATGAAAAGAGATTTTTTTAGCAAGTTAACTTTACATTTTTCAAATGTCAAAACATAAGGTGCTTGCTCAAATCAATTAGTGTCCTTTTTGGTTTATTCTTCTCCCTTCTTTTTTTATCAGTATTATTGAAAAAAGACACATATACTTTCTGGTACAATTTTTCATTCAGTAGGCACTGTCTGTGTTTTTGTCTATCTGTGTCGGTCCTTTTTTAATCAAAGAAATTGAAAAGAGACAGATATATTTAGTAGGTCATAGTAACGGTTCAATGTTGGGCACTTCTCAAAATCAACCAAGTCATAATAATGGTTGCCTTATTTTTTGTCTATTGTCGATTATCTTTGTTTAATCAATATGAAAAGAAAGAGACGGATGAACTTTTTTGTAAAATATCAAGTAGGCCATGGATTGACAATGCAAAATGGCTCCTATTTTCAATTATACCCCTTTGTAATACACAAGAATCAAATTTAACTTAGAAGAAACAAGAGTTCTGAATTGACAACTTCTTAAACGAAGTTAGTTTTCGAGCTGAAATTTCAATGTAAGATTAATTTGGTTTTCCTAAAATCTCTAGTGCACTATCTTATATAGTTGTGCCTCTAATTAATTTCAACGAGAAACGAATCTGATATTCGGAAATACGAAATAACAAGGCAAATACTGTAAAATTAAACGGGTGTGTGTCGTATTTGTCCGGATTGTGTAACATGCAAGTAAACAAAGTATAACGTTATTGATTTGAGTAATAGAAAATGTATAAATAAATACCTTTTCAAGGGTTTTTGAAAGTTTGTTTTTCTGATTGCTCTTATGCGGCAAGTGTCGTTTTTAAAAGTGTCCCCAGTGTCAAAAGTAGTAGTTTCGTGAATTTTAATTTAATCTCTCATGCATATACATGTACCACGCCGAAAGGCTATTACTGTAGAATTTAAAAACGGTTTCCCAGAATACAGAGTTTTATTTGCTTCGCTTGAAATTTTATTGGGGAGCTTCCAATTACCTATTTGAATTTTGAAATTTGGCACGAGAATAATCGGCCTCAAAACTCGTATTAAGGTTCAAACACCCAAGCTGAATAGTTTCCGATGTCGATTATCTTTTCAATTTGAAATAGTTTCGGAAGTTTTGTCTTAAAAGACGAAAGTTTTCTAGCAGAATTTGTTCTCGGATTAAAGATCTAATCAATAGGTTGTCTGATAATGAGAAACTTGATGACGACATCTAGGGTGCCTTATGGAGATTTGCATTATGGCACCCTAGATGACGTCAGGCAACCTAGCTTTCTCAAACAAACTTGGATCTAATTCAATTGATTGATATTGGTTGACTACTAGTGAAAATTTTCTACTTCTGGACTGTACAAATTATACTAAAACTATTTAAAATTTTCATTACAACCCTGGCTCCAAAGAAGTTTAAATCTTAAGGAGGCATTTATGACAAGTGACATTGAAATATGTCAGTTTTGTGCTCTGGGCCGAGATTCTAAAATCACGATTCGACACACGACTCGACAACGATACCGGCCTTGTCGTCTCGAAAGGTATAATTCCAATGAGATTTCTAACCTAGAATCGTCGGGAAAATCGTCTCGCTGTCGAGTCGTATGTCGAATCGTGATTTTAGAATCCCCGACCTGATTGGTTGATTTTTTCACATACGTCTGTCCAAAGAGTTTCACAAAAAAAAAAAAAAAAAAAACTATAATCGAGAAATATGCCAAGGAGCAAACCACCTAGGAATTCTTTACCAAAAATGTGGGGAATTTAAAGGAATTTGTGGGGAATTTGAAGGAACTCATCCGAATTTATGAGAATTTGGGGAATTTATAAGGAATTTGGAGGAATTTATGGGGAATTTAGGAGAATTTGTAGGGAATTTATGAGTAATTGTCGAATTTAAAAAATTCAAAAGAATAATGAATACCTATAGTTTTTGTAGGCTGATTTCCAAAATTTTTCATGTTGTGATTTTCAACTGAAAAAATTTGAAATTTTGGAAAAATGAGCTTCTCACCTTCTTTACATGCAAAAAGTTTCAAAATTTTCCCTTTAGTACTTTTCCAGGAAAACATTGAAATGTGTGAGATTGTATTTTCAACTAATTCAGTTTTTGTAGGTTGATTTCCAAGATTTTTCATGCTTCAGTTTTCTACTGGAAAAATTTGAAATTTTAGGAAAATGAGCTTCTTACCTTCCTCTTTACATGCAAAAATATGTGTAAAAAGTTTTAAAATTTTCCCTTCACTAGTTTTCCAGGGAAACTTTGAAATATGTGAGACTGTATTTTCAAATAATTTAGTTATTGTAACTTGATTTCCAATATTCCTCATGTTTCTATTTTCCACTGGAAAAATTTTAAATTTTGAAAAAATGAGCTTCTCACCTTCTTTTTTACATGCAAAAAGTTTCAAAATTTTTCCTTCAGTAGTTTTCCAGGAAAACATTGAAATGTGTGAGACTGTATTTTCAACTAATTCAGTTTTTGTAGGTTGATTTCCAAGATTCCTCATGTTGTAATTTTTCACTGGAGAAATTTGAAATTCTGGGAAAATGAGCTTCTAATCTTTCTCTTTACATGCAAAAAGTTTCAAATTTCCCCCTTCAATAGTTTTCCAGGAAAACTTTGAAATATGTGAGACTGTATTTTCAATTAATTCAGTTATTGTAAGTTGATTTCCAATATTCCTCATGTTGCTGTTTTCCACTGGAAAAATTTTAAATTTTGGGAAAATGAGCTTCTCACTTTCCTGTTTAAAAGCACAAAGTTCCAAAATTTTCTCTTCAGTAATTTTCCAGGATAATTTTGAAATGTGTGAGACTGTATTTTCCACTAATTCAGTTTTTGTAGGTTGATTTCCAAGATTTTTCATGTTACTGTTTTCTACTGGAAAAATTTGAAATTTTGAAAAAATGAGCTTCTCACCTTCCTCTTTACATGCAAAAAGTTTAAAAATTTTCCCGTCACTAGTTTTCCAGGAAAACTTTAATATATGTGAGACTCTATTTTCAATTAATTCAGTTATTGTAAGTTGATTTCCAATATTCCTCATGTTGCTGTTTTCTACTAAAAAAATTTCAAATTTTGGGAAAATGAGCTTCTCACCTTCTTCTTTACATGCAGAAAGTTTCAAAATTTTCCCTTCAGTAGTTTTCCAGGATAACTTTGAAATGTGTGAGACTGTATTTTTCACTAATTCAGATTTTGTAGGTTAATTTCCAAGATTTTTCATGTTGCTGTTTTCTACTGGAAAAATTGGAAATTTTGGGAAAATGAGCTTCTTACTTTCCTCTTTACATGCAAAAAGATTCAAAATTTTCCCTTCAGTAGTTTTTCAGGAAAATATTGAAATGTGTGAGACTGTATTTTTGTAGGTTGATTTCCAAGATTCCTCATGTTGTATTTTTTACTGGAGAAATTTGAAATTCCTGGAAAATGAGCTTCTCATCTTTCTCTTCACATGCAAAAAGTTTCAAATTTCTCCTTGCACTAGTTTTCCAGGAAAACTTTGAAATATGTGAGACTGTATTTTCAATTCAGTTATTGTAAGTTGATTTCCAATATTCCTCAGGTTGCTGTTTTCAACTGGAAAAATTTCAAATGGGAAAATGTGCTTTTCACCTTCTTATTTAAATGCAAAAAGTTTCAAAATTTTCCCTTCAGTAGTTTTCCAGGATAACTTTGAAATGTGTGAGACTGTATTTTCCACTAATTCAGTTTTTGTAGGTTCATTTCCAAGATTTTTCATGTTGCTGTTTTCCACTGGAAAAATTTGAAATTTTGGGAAAATGATGTTCTCACTTTCCTCTTTAAATGCAAAAAGTTTCAAAATTTTCCCTTTTCTAGTTTTCCACAAAAACTTTGAAATGTGAAATACTGTATTTTCAATTAATTCAGTTATGGTAAGTTGATCTCCAATATTCCTCATGTTGCTGTTTTCCACTGAAAAAATTTGAAATTTTGGGAAAATGAGCATCTCACCTTCCCCTTTACATACAAAAAGTTTCAAAATTTTCCCTTCGTTAGTTTTCCAAGAAAATTTTGAAATGTGGCAGACTGTGTTTTCAACTAATTTAGTTTGTGTAGGTTGATTTCCAAAATTTTTTATGTTGCTGTTTTCCACTAGAAAAATTTGAAATTTTGGGAAAATGATCTTCTCACTTTCCTCTTTACATGCAAAAAATTTCACAATTTTCCTTTTTTCTGGAGTTTTTGTGGGGTATTTGGAGAAGTTTGTGGTAGGGTATTTGGAGGAATTTGTGATGGAGTATCTGGAGGAATTTGGAGGAATTTGCAGGAATTTTGAGGAATTATGCGTAAAAAGTTCCCCTTTGACGAATTGTTTGCACTAATTTTAGGTTGGTGGTTTACCCCTTGATGGACGCCTATGGATATTAGGCTCCACCCAATTTGGAGCTTTAGGTAGGGAGAGAGGAGCTAATGATCTAAATGAATGGAATACTTTGCCAGAAAGTATATCTGTGTTTTTTCGTTCATTATGAATTGGAAAAAGACAATCACACAATAATCGCTTCCGTTTTCCTGGCTCCTGATTTAAATTCAAGAGAATAATCCATATTTTGAATTCATTAAATCAAATTCATTCAGACGCCATTTTTAGGGATTGTGACATTTTGAAATGGGACAAAATGACTCATGGAGGATGGATCTGTCTAAATGAATGAGCAACTTTACCAGAAAGTATATCTGTCTTTTCTCGAGGATAATGAAAGTTAAAAAGACCAACAAAGATGGAAAAAAAATTACACAATAATCGCTTTTGTTATGACACAACAATAAGGCACTAGCTGACGTTATACACATAACCTCACTTCCGTTGGGGGGACAAACAAAGCGTTTGAAAGGTCTATTTAACACACAGGCGGTAGCTTGTCACCAATGACATAATGTGACTTTCGATAGAGAGACAAACATGTCATTGATGTTATGTGTGTGACGTCAGCTAGCACCTAATTGATGTGTGAATCTTTTTAAAACTAGGACGGTATAATTTTAGGGAGCGGTTATTTTTTGACAGTTGATTTAGTAAATGCGTGGCCTACTTGATTGAATTTTCGCCGGAGAGTCTATTTGTCTCTTTTTAATTGTATGGATTGAAAAAGGATCGATGAGAATAATTAAAAAATGACACAATTTATCACTGTTTGCGTAGGAAATTAGTGAAGTAGATAGCAAGTAGAATTCTACTTTCATGACGTCATCCGCGACCTCCTTATTACGTAGAGTAGAAAAAAATAGAGGCGATGATGACAGTTGCTATGAAACCTGACGTCATTAAAGTGGAATTCTACTTGTCGTGATCCCAGCCCTGGTTTTGAATAAATGAAAATGCAAAATTCTAAATTTTTTAACTCGCTGTCATTTGGACATTTATTTTCAAGGCTGTTTCAGCAATTACCCTGATAAAGTCCTAGCAAAGGTTGACAATTTCAAAGAGTGGAAAAAATTGAATGAATTTGCCTTTTTATTTTTTCTAATTATTCTACTACTGATTTATTTCACTTAGATAAATTTGACATTTGATAGTTACATGTGTCAATCCATGGCCAACTTGATGACATTTTTTCCAAAAAAGTCTCATTAGAAAATGAGGTACGAGAATCAGCCACGAGCCTGCAGGGCGAGGAATATTTTCTGATGACGTGCACGAATGCTTTAATATTAGAAATTGATTATCGGCTTTGTTTGGTGAACATTAGGAAACGTCTCATTTTTGACAGTTGCCCATATAATTCCATAACCCACCCAATGAACTATATACATGTACTAGGACTGGGATCACAACAAGTGGAATTCTACTTTCATGACGTCACCCGCTACCTATTTATCGCTGCAGTACAAGTGAATGTACAGGCGATGATGATGGTTGCTAGGCAATCTTACGTCATGAAAATGAAACTCTACTTTCATGGCGTCACCCTCGACCTATTTATCGCGTACAGTACAACGATGATGGCAGTAACTAGATAACCTGATGTTATGAATGTTGAATCCTAGTAGGATTCTACTTGTCGTGATCCCAGCCCTGGAATGGTCGTGCCTATCATGAAATGGATAATGTGGGAGATACCTATCTCTATTTACCTTATGGACGAGTTATGGAAATCTTTCCTTTTTCCAAAAAATATTATATTTGAAGTTAGGAATATATACCAAATCTAACAGCAATGAAGTAGAGAGAGAAAGGTATCCCCCACCACAGCTATCTTTAACCTCGTGTAGTTTATAGTTCATTTATGGGGCCAACTTGATAGATTTCAATAGAAAATGTATGTGTCTCTTTTTGATAATATTGATAGGAAAAGGATAAACATTACATAACGGTTATTTGTTATAAAAGTAGTATTTAGTTGGTGTTAAGAAATGTTTGCTAGAAAAACAATCTGTCTTTTTTCAATATCATTGCTAGAAGAAGAAAAAAGACTACTTTATATATGTCTCTTTCTTACTTATTATGTTTCTCATGTCGTATCTCACTCGCTTATTTGTTCATGATTGAGTCGCTCGAAGGCTGGGAATACCTACCCGTAAAATTATTGTAACACATATTTTATCCTATTTTCTCTGTCTCTTTCTCACCTATTTAATTTTCTATATCGTTGTTAGTTTTATTATTCCGAGCTCTTGACTGGTCACACATAGAAATTACAAGGTTACTCAAGTACCAGGAATCATGGAAATATGTGCCATTCTATTATGCCTCTATCTCTTTTTTTTTCATTGAATACCTTATATCATCTTTCTCTTATTATTCAAGGCTTTTGATTAGTGAAACACAAAAGTTACAAACATTCACAAACAATTATTTTTGCCTACTTTATATCCATCTTTTTTTTATTCGCTAAATTCCCCATAGCTTCGTCTCTTACTTTATTATTCTAGGCCTTTGTAAGGTATTCATTCTATTTCACCTCCATTTCTCATTTACTCATTGAATTTCTTATATTTGTCATTGTCTTTCTCTTATTATTTCAGGTTTTTGATTCATCAAGGTCAGATACAAAATTTATTAGCTTACTTGTGCTACAATTTTTGTATTCTACTCTATCTTCATTTCTTTCTTACACGTTCAATCACCTTATCTCCCTCTTATTTCAGGCCTTTATTTGGCTAAACATAAAAGTTACTCAAGTTTCAGAAAGAATCTAAAACTCGTGTCACAATTTTTTTCATCCTACTTTATCTCCATCTCTTTTTTACTCGTTCAATTTTTGGTATCCTGATCTCTCTCTTATTTCAGGCTATTGATTCCAATCCAAGAGCAGGGAATAATCAAAATTTTGAATTTTTCAATCAAATTTATACAGACGCCATTTTCAGACATTGTGACATTGACAATACATTTGAAAAAAGAAAACAAAATGACTAACAGAGCTGTCTAAGTGGATAGACAATTTTGCCAGAAAGTATATCTGTTTCTTTTCAATCAATATGAATTAGGAAAGGACCAGCATAGATAGGAAAAAAACAACAGAATAGTTGTTTTCATAGACTGACGCATGTATAACTATTTGACAAATACTTCATTGTACAATTTGACAGAAGTGACCATTGACAGTTTACCTTGAGAGCCAGGAATAGACAAAAATAGTTTTAAAAGCAGTTTTTATTATTTGTTAAATTGACAGGTCGTCATCGGCTTTCCTTTTCTAATCAATGAGAATGACAAGAGACTTTCTGGAAAAATATGGCATCAAGTGCAAGGTTCCTAAAGTTAATAGGTCGCTTGGTAATGGGTAACTTAATGACGTATCTGGGGTGCCTTATGGAGATTTGCATAATGTTGAGGCACCCCGGATGACGTCACAAAGTTATCAGACAACCTACCTTTCTCAAGTAACCTTGATCAAGTGGGCCATAGAATGACTCATTATACAATTAAGTGACAATTACTTCATTGTATAATTCGACAGAAGTGGTCATTGACAGTTTATTTTAAGAGCCGGGAATAGACAAAAATAGTTTTTAAAGAAGTTTTTATTATTTGTAAAATTGACAGTCCGTCATGGGCCCTCCTTTTCTAATCAATGAGAATGACAAGAGACTTTCTGGAAAAATATATCATCAAGTGTAAGGCTCCTAGAGTTAATAGGTTGCCTGGTAATGGGTAACTTTATCTGGGGTGCCTTATGGAGATTTGCATTATATTGAGGCACCCCGGATGACGTCACAAAGTTAGCAACCTATTGTTTGCCCAGCGGATCTGAGTCTACGGAAGGAATTCGGACGTAAATGTGCCATGTTGTCACGTTTAATTATAAAAAAGCGAAAATACTAGGCATGAGGTATAGATCATTTAAAAATCCATTTTTTAATAACAAAATATAGATATCAATAAAACGCTAAATATTTCAACGTGGTTGTTAGATCTATTCTTATTCTAATAACTGATTTCTTCAATTTTGTCCATTGTAAAAAATTAACATTTTCTAAAGATATCATCAGTTTTTGAAAATTTGGCAAGCATCCGGCCTGGATGAACCTGATTGGTGGAGTTTTTGGCAGGATGGCCGTTGCCACGAGGAACCATGTCGTTGTCAATGGGCTAAACGTCACCTTACGTCTTGCTATTGGCCAGGGCTTCTGTCATTGTATCCTCCCATCTTGGAATATCGATTTATATTGAAATATCCAGTGGCGGGGGTTTGGTCATTTTCGATTTTCGTGTAGGAGTTGCAATACGATAACACTTCCAAAAAATTCCGCACGCAGCTGGGTATTTTATGAATGAAATCAGCCATTTTTTTTTAACAACTGCATTCCCCTTACCGTTGCCTCGCAGACACAGAGTCGCTGGGCAGACATTACCTCTCTCAAGCAACCTTAATCAAGTACGTGGGCCATAGAATGACATGTACAATTATGTGACAAATACTTTATTGTAGAATTTGACAGAAGTGACCATTGACAGTCAACTTCAAGAACCGGGAATAGACAAAACTTGATTGAAAAGAAAACATCATTTGTTGAATTGTAAGTTCGTCATTGGCCCTCTTTCTCTAATCAATGAGAATGACGAGGGATTTTCTGGAAAAATATGCCATCAAGTTGGCCATGGATTGACACATAAACAATTAATTGACAGATACTTCATTGGACAATTTGACAGAAGTGACCATTGACAGTTAACTTCAAGAGCCGGGAATAGACAATAATTGATTGGAAATAAAAATTTATTATTTGTTAAATTGACAGTCCGTCATCGGTCTTCCTTTTCTAATCAATGAGAGTGACAAGAGACTTTCCGGAATAATATACGATCAAGTTAACCATGAAATCACACAAAAACTTCAATGTACAATTTGACAGAAGTGACCATTGACAGTTAGCTTCAAGAGCCGGGAATAGACAAAAATTGTCAATCAAATAACTGTCATTAGTGTCATACATTGCATGCTTCTACTTGAGGATTAGAAAAAAATAACAAGAATCTATGAAAAATCACACAATTTTTTGACAATTAATTGGTTATCTTGATATTTGATAAAAAAATTTAGTCGGAGAGTTTATCTGCCTCTTTTTAATGGTATGGATTGAAAAAGGATCGAAGATTGATTGATTGACATTTTTTTGAAATTGCTGTCATATTGACATTAATTTTCATTACATTAGTTAGTAAAAAAACTTGAAGGAATTTCCATTTCAATTTGTTCCAATTTTGATATTGCTTTTTGGGCACATGGCAACTAGACAATTAACTTTACTTAAATACCATTGACATTTGACAGTTCCGTGTGTCAATCCATGGTCAACTTGATGACATTTTTTTCCACAATGTTACTGATTAGAAAATGAGGGCCCAGGAATAATGACAGTTGTTTTTTCTTGTTTGGTTTTACCGGCTTTATCTGGTAAACATTAGGAAATGCCTCATTTTTGACAGTACAAAAATGCATGGCTAACTTGATGAAAGATGGTACTGAACAAAAAAATTACCTATTTAGAGCAAGGCATCTTCAAACTTCTCTAGAACCGCTTCGTGAATCCATGGTATTATGTTGATTCTAGAACAAAGCAGATAAAATCAGAATACATTGAAAATATTACAAAAAATAAATAAATATTGTATATAACAGTAACATTTTTCTAATGTTTTTTTCGTATTTTCTACAAGCAACAAAGGCGCAAATTCCAACATACATAAGCCTCCAAGGTTGAAATCCCACAAGCCCCTAATAAATCAAACCAAAGATCCGGCTATTATAGTAGGCCTATACTCGAACATAATTTATTCCGCAACAAACAACAAACAAAAACAACCAAAGTATGATGCAAAAACCGCACTTATTAAGTATCCTCAAAGTATAAATAAGCCTGTGCCACATTGACCGAGTATCAGTTAACTTCAAAAGTCAACTACAACAAAACCAAAAATGAAATACGTCGCTATTTTAGTCTTCGCCCTCATGGCCATCTCTTCAGCCTACGCTGGTGCCATCGGTTTAGGATGTTGCGGAGGAGCCGTTTTGGCAGCACCCGCTGTCGGAATCCGTACTGTAGGAGTCGTTGGAGCCCCAGGCTTAGCTGTAGGAGGTTTGGGATTGGGCGGATTGGGACACGGCAGAGTACTGTTGGGTTAAGGAATTGTGACTGACTAATTTTGGACTGGATATAATATGGATTTTTGTTTCTAGAATATATTTTTTTGTAATTAATTTTTGGTGTTTTTATTTGATTTCACAATGGTCCAATTGATCTATAGTATTAGATACAGTGATGCCAGGTCTGGTGAAATTTCATTAGATCTGGTGATTGGCGAAAAACTTTTTGAAAAATTGCAATTTCTGGTGATTTTGAAATTTCATCAATTTTGAATATTTTTAACAATAGCATACATTTCATAAACATCCCTCGTAATGTATTAAAATTTTACTTCATTAACATACAAATTTCATTTGTTTGACAGAAAACCGCAAATACCCATAAGTGGTGTGTGAGGTGCCAATACTTCCATTAAATATTGAGCAAATCAAAATAAATTATATATAGTTGGAAAGAGCATCAAATTCTCTATAAATCCATGCTAGATTGAGTTTGATAACTCAAATACTTTTGGAACAATTGAGCCTCAAAGTTGACGAGTTTCGAGAAAATTGAGTTTGAAAATTTCGAAATTAAAATACAAAGGGGTTTAACCCTTTGAAAAAATCGAAATTTTTATTTTTCAGATTTTTTGAATTTTGACTTTTCCAATCGATAGAGCGGGTCTAAATTAGTCGAAAAAAACTCTAACATCATTACAAAATTTTGATTTCAACACAGAGAAAAATTAAAAAGAAAATCTCAATTTTTAGGTATAATTTTTTTTTGAATCCTGACAAGGTTAGGAGCAATTGCCAATACTTCCATTAAATTTTGAGCAAATCAAAATAAATTATATATACTTAGAAAGAGCATCAAATTCTCTATAAATCCATGCTAGATTGAGTTTGATAACTCAAATACTTTTGGAACAATTAAGCCTCAAAGTTGGATTTTAGTTGAAATTTAGTCAAAAACTTCAAATTCGATTTTCTCAAAAACCGTAAATGCCAGTGACTTCAACTAAGCACCATTTTTAAGCCCTCATCAAGGGCTACAATCTCAAAAAAAATTGATCCAAAATCTCTGACGAGTTTCGAGAAAATTGAGTTTGAAAATTTCGAAATTAAAATCCAAAGGGGTTTAACCCTTTGAAAAAATCGAAATTTTTATTTTTCAGATTTTTTGAATTTTGACTTTTCCAATCGATAGAGCGGGTCTAAATTAGTCGAAAAAAACTCTAACATCATGACAAAATTTTGATTTCAACACAGAGAAAAATTAAAAAGAAAATCTCAATTTTTAGGTTTAATTTTTTTTTTTGAATCCTGACAAGGTTAGGAGCAGTTGCCAATAGTTCCATTAAATTTTGAGCAAATCAAAATAAATTATATATACTTAGAAAGAGCATCAAATTCTCTATAAATCCATGCTAGATTGAGTTTGATAACTCAAATACTTTTGGAACAATTAAGCCTCAAAGTTGGATTTTAGTTGAAATTTAGTCAAAAACTTCAAATTCGATTTTCTCAAAAACCGTAAATGCCAGTGACTTCAACTAAGCACCATTTTTAAGCCCTCATCAAGGGCTACAATCTCAAAAAAAATTGATCCAAAATCTCCGACGAGTTTCGAGAAAATTGAGTTTGAAAATTTCGAAATTAAAATCCAAAGGGGTTTAACCCTTTGAAAAAATCGAAATTTTTATTTTTCAGATTTTTTGAATTTTGACTTTTCCAATCGATAGAGCGGGTCTAAATTAGTCGAAAAAAACTCTAACATCATGACAAAATTTTGATTTCAACACAGAGAAAAATTAAAAAGAAAATCTCAATTTTTAGGTTTAATTTTTTTTTTTGAATCCTGACAAGGTTAGGAGCAGTTGCCAATAGTTCCATTAAATTTTGAGCAAATCAAAATAAATTATATATACTTAGAAAGAGCATCAAATTCTCTATAAATCCATGCTAGATTGAGTTTGATAACTCAAATACTTTTGGAACAATTAAGCCTCAAAGTTGGATTTTAGTTGAAATTTAGTCAAAAACTTCAAATTCGATTTTCTCAAAAACCGTAAATGCCAGTGACTTCAACTAAGCACCATTTTTAAGCCCTCATCAAGGGCTACAATCTCAAAAAAAATTGATCCAAAATCTCTGACGAGTTTCGAGAAAATTGAGTTTGAAAATTTCGAAATTAAAATCCAAAGGGGTTTAACCCTTTGAAAAAATCGAAATTTTTATTTTTCAGATTTTTTGAATTTTGACTTTTCCAATCGATAGAGCGGGTCTAAATTAGTCGAAAAAAACTCTAACATCATTACAAAATTTTGATTTCAACACAGAGAAAAATTAAAAAGAAAATCTCAATTTTTAGGTTTAATTTTTTTTTGAATCCTGACAAGGTTAGGAGCAATTGCCAATACTTCCATTGAATTTTGAGGAAATCAAAATAAATTATATATGGTTGGAAAGAGCATCAAATTTTCTATAAATCTATGCTAGATTGAGTTTGATAACTCAAATACTTTTGGAACAATTGAGCCTCAAAGTTGGATTTTAGTTGAAATTTAGTCAAAAACTTCAAATTCGATTTTCTCAAAAACCGTAAATGCCAGGGACTTCAACTAAGTACCATTTTGAAGCCCTCATCAAGGGCTACAATCTCAAAAAAAATTGATCCAAAATCTTTGACGCGGGTGACGTCATGAAAATAGAATTCTACTTGTCATGATCCCAGCCCCGGATAAGTGGTTATCTTATCGCTTGTCATAAATGATATTTGACATTTTGCCCAACAGTGTTGCCGATAGTTTTATAATTACTGTTATGGAAAATTTGAAATTTGCAAGGCCTACTTGGGCTTTTTTTTTGTATAAATTCGGGCCTCAATGGTTGACACAATATTTGTTATTGTAGTTGGCAACACTGTTTGACAAGGGACAAAGTAGGCTTTGCAAAATTTTAAAATTTAAATATGGCGCCCTGTAATACCGACATGGCAATACATACATGCCTACTTCGTTTGACATAAGCCCGTAAGGCGAGAATTTTCTTGAAAAATCAACTTTCAAGATTTCTGGTGATTTATTTTTTTATTCTGGTGATTTTTCATTCCAATTTCTGGTGAATTTAATTTTTTTGACCTGGCAACAGTGATTAGATAGCACCTTCACAGTAGAAATGTGTCATTTTACGTACCCTTACTTTTATCAAAAAAACAATTTTCGTATGTTTTCCATAGATTTGACTTTGGACGATTTCATTATACATATACCCCTTAGTCAAGGTTCCTATAGCTATAGCTTGTCTAGTAAGATGTAACTTGATGACGTCATCTATAGTGCCTTATGCATTATGTTGACTCACCTCAAATGACGTCAAGAAAGTTATCAGGCAACCTACCTCTTTCAAAATTTATATTCCGAAATACTAATTTCGAATTTTGAGCGTTTTTTTTCTTTCAATCCTGTAAACTTGGAGACAAACGAAGAAATCTGACAACAATGGATTTGTTGATTTCAATTATAAGTATCATAAAAGGTAGCTTAATTTGAAGAATTTTTGAATGCTCTGACAACACTGCTTTGTTTTTAAGAATCCAGTATTTCTAGAGATAATTCACCTGAGTAACAGTTATACAAGATTCTTTTGATGCTTCAGTGTTGCCAAATTGATGAGCTTCATCAAAAATACACAAACTCACCTAATTGAAAATTAGGATTTTTTTGTAGACTGTGACAACACTGCGTCATTTTTAGGCATCGAGTTAGCAAAATATTATGTAGATATTTTTGAGAGATTTTTTCCAGGATTTTATTGGAAATAGGAAATACAGAAACAAATCTTTTGGCAACATTTTTTTACTACCAACTGTCAAATTTTCTAAAATCGTTTTGATATTTGAGTTGAGTGACAATTTTTGGAATTTCTCCTGTTGCCATAATTATCTATTTTTTCAACTAAATGATTTGGGTGTACATACATTGAAAGAAATCCGGCAACAGGGCATTCGATTCATACACCAATTTGGGTTTAATTTTTACAGAGAGTGAACCTGAATTTCTATAATTTTGAAAACACCGAGAGAAGATTCTTACTTTTTTTTTGAAAATAAAGCCCCAGATATATTGTTGCCACATTGATAATGAAATCTAGGATTTTTTGTAATAAAAGATTCTTCATTCCCATAGCAATTACAATGTTGCCACATACTTTAAAATTTCCCCAATCTCTATTTAAAAAAAGAAAGCACAAACATTTTGTCACAAACAAACTTTTTATTTATGAAATAATTGCAAAATACAAACAAACAATAAAATGTACAAAATTGACAAAAAAAAAAATCTCCTCAATAAATCCACATGTTACGTTTCCTGGTACCTTGCAATACGATTATTGTCGTAGTTTAACCCCAGTGTCCTCCGCGACCCCAGCCTCCGGCGTTGCCACCCCAACCTCCAGCGTTGCCACCCCAACCTCCGGCACCTCCTGCACCACCCCAACCTCCGTTGCCTCCCCAGCCTCCTGCGCCTCCCCAGCCTCCGCGGCCTGGTTGTGGTTCAGGTTCGGCCATGACGGCGAATACAGCCATGAGGGCTACAGCCAAAAATACTAAGAATTTCATTGTTGGTTGTTGGTTGTTTCGTTGGTTGCGAGTTTATGGTTTTAGGGGTTGAGACGGCGGTCTTTTATAGTGAAAGAATTTGCATAATAATTAGGAATAATTATGTAAAATTATAATTTATTCATTTAATTATTGTCAAGAATTAACGGCAATATAAATTGGAAAAAAATACTCTTTTTTTTTTTGTTGATTTATTATATTAATTATTCTTTCTTATTGCCTTATGCAATAAACTCAGATGCTGTTTCAATAAAATTATTAGATATACAAAATTACTAAATTGTTTATCAAAATCTGCTCGACTAAAATCCCCTCAATATAGAGCGCGTGTAAAAGAGAGCTAGTCTTATGAGTCCATCTTTTTCTAACAAGTGTAAAAATGATTTTAGACGAGCAGATTTTCTCATCTCATCTCTATCAAATACTTGTTGAT